GTTTTTAATTTCATAAAAAATCACCCATTTTATTAATAAATTATCAAATCAATTAATAGTTTTTAATAATGTTAGAAATATGTTTCAATTAATAATTTATGTAATTTTATTATTGTATAGGAGAGCAATTATGAATTTTATTTTTTCAGTTAATTCTATTAAATAAAAAATTATTACAAAGGGATATTCATAATTTTTCAAATTATATGGGACAATCTGTATTTTAAGGAAATCTCAGGGGGTGTATTTGTAATTTATCTTAAAATTTATGTTTCTGATTTCCATGCAGACTTGGGCCAACAGCCCAAGCCCAGATCATGGCCTTTAGGGGGTGAGCAAGGGCTGGGTGGATCTCAGACGGGCCTTGGGTTAACTCTTTATTGGGCATTCTATTTGAACCAAAAATATATCTTAGTATGCCCAATTTAAATTTATAAATTTTAATTTCTAATATATCTTAATATGAATTTACTAATAAGGACAACATATATTAAATTTCAAAATATTTTTTTTTTCTCATGGTACACCCTAATCAGTTATTTCTATTCAAATCTCTATATCTTCTTTCCCAAGATATCAAAATTATTTCTTCTTCTACCTCCCTCCAAAACTCTAATCCACCATACCAAAACTCACTATCATCATCAACATCATTGTTTTTTTATTATTTTGAAACCCTAAACTTTAAAAAAAAGTTTGAATAAAATCAAATAATGAATGAGAGTAATAATAAAAATAGTTTTTTGAAGCAACCCATCAAAAAGGAGGTAAATATTCATATAAAAGGGTTTCACAATTTGTGTAGAACACCATCAATTATTTTCTGTATCATTTTTTTGACAAAAATGAAAAGGCCTAGTAATTAAATTAACAATAACATATTATTGGAGTTCATCTTATTTTGTCATTTAAAATAGTATATTATTTGAGAACTATTCTTTCTTATTAGTACCTGATACTTATGTGCTTATAAGTTTGGTTTTTACTTTTCTAAAGAGCATTCTTGTGGATAATTTATAATGTAATCGTTTTTTTTTTCTGTATTGAAAAGTTTTATAATACTTATGTAAAAGTTTGGTTTTTTCTGTATTTATAATGCTTATGCGCTTATAAGTTTGGTTTTTTTTTTCTGTATTTCAAAATTATTTTTTGTATTGAAAAGATTTGAAATAATTTAGTTTTTTTGTTTGTTTATTATTTATTATTTGGGTTTACCTTGAGGGTAATTTGGGAAAAATAATAAGGTTTAATGAGAGTAAAATAAAATTTTAAATAATTAAATAGAGTGTATTTAGAAATTAGGAGTACACAATGATTTTTTGGGTATAAATAGAATAGCCCACTCTTTATGTTTTTCAGTTTTTTGGAACAATGGTAAGCCCAAGCCAAGCTTGTTCATAGACATTAACCCAAGCCCAACTTTCGGAGGTTGAGGCGTGGGCTGTACATGCCTTAGGGCATTGAACTGTTTATGAGTTTGGGCCATATTTATAATCCAACAGATTTTACATTGTTATTTGAAGCGTTTTGGTATGTTATTAGGGCTTGTTTGGTTTGAGTATAGGATAAGGCGGGACAACTTATTTCGAGAAGATATTTTGATCATATTACGATTAAAAAATTATCTCATAATAAGGGAGTTTCAATTACATACACATTGTAAACCCATCAAAAATTTTACTTTTGTGTTAAATTATACTGTATAATTTTAAATATGGTCTCGTATCATATTCTTAACTTTGTAAACCTTAATCTCACACTCAATTACAATCTTCTCCTCCGATCACCATCACCTCCTTCAATTCTAATTGCGACTGCCTTTTTCACCTTCAATTGACATGTTAACCCTTTCTCCACTCTCTCCAGCACCCACCACCCCTTATTACCCCATCTTCTTCCTCATTCAACTCCTTTCATTTATGTTGTACAGTGTCAAGGTGAGGAAGAGATGATGAGGTGTGAAGAGAATAGTGGTGTCAAAAAGAATAAGGTTAGGAATGACAAGGGAAAATGAGGGATTAGAGATGGTTGGAAGAGATGAAGAAGAGAATTAGAAGTAGTTGAAGAGGGTGGGAGGTAGTTGTAGGGATTAGGGTGTATAAGGTGAACATTGTGACAGAGGTGGAATTTGAAAACATAGTATGATTTATCAAAATTGGTTTTCCTTATGACAATTAACTTAAAAATATGAGCAATGATTTTGTTGTGCTTTGAATTGAATGAGATCCACAAAAAGTAAAATAAAATAAATATTTTTTTCACACTTCTTTACCTTGTTTTAATTTTTAATATATATTGCTTTTTAAGCTAAAATTCAATTGATTTGAGTTGAGTTAATTTTTTTTTTTTAATACTTGACGAGTAAAACTCAAATTCTAATTCGATTTTATAAAATTAATTTAAATTAGATTTGAGCTAAATTTGAACAACTCAAAACTTAGCATAGTATGTGACAAATGCTAGATTTTTATAATTTAAGTTTCACAATTTATCACAATGATAAAACAAGTTAGAGCGTACATAGATGAATTTGTGGCAAATTACAAATTAACACATAAATGACGAGTCAATATTTTTTCTATGATGAGCTTGTTTGGTATAACTTATTATAAGTTAAAAATTGACAATGAAGAAGCTGCTTCTCTAGTTTTTAGATAATTTTTTTTATGCATATTTAAGTTATTTTTGTCTAATAAATCATAAACAGAAATAACCTAACAGAAACTGTCAAAACAAAATAAAATATAAACTATTTAAATAAGTTGCACCAAGCAATCAAATATTAAGATTCCATTTGGTTTAGTTTTTTAGAATAATGATTTGAATATGGAGTTGTATTTTGAAAAATAAGTTTTTGAAATGAGAAAATTTGTTTGATTATAAGTTTTGAAAAGAGTTTTGAGTTGTATTTAGAAATTGCTTTGGGATTTATTTTTTAAATATTTAAAAAATTTCTTAATTTTATTTTTTTAGGATAAATATTTTTTTATTGTAAATACTTATTTATTTATTTTAATGTGCGTTGTATTTACTACATTTATGCATTGTATTTTTTAAAAATATTTTAAATACTTAAAAAATTATTTTTATTTTAAATATATAATTTTTATTTTAAATATTTTCTTTTATTTTTAAAATATTTAAAATATTTTCTTTTTATTTTTTGTAAATTTTAAAAAATTTTGAATCGTTCATATATATCTAAATCCTAACAAATTATTTGCTCAATACTTACAAAAATAACAAAATAATTTTTTTCTAAAAGATAAAAAATATTTTTCTTCAAAAATAAAAAAATTCAAAAAAATAAAAATAATTTTAAAGTACAAAATAAAAAAATTGATTTTTTCTTTTTGTTTTAAAAATAAAATTTTGAAATGAGTTTCGTTATGCATTTTGAATTTTTTTTTTAATCGACTGTTTGATTTTAAGTTTTGAATTTTTATTTTATTTTATGATTGAAATCATAATTTGAAACCAAACGCTACTTACGTGCTTTTTAAGGTCACACAACATCTACCAGACGGATACGACACCGTTCTCTTGTAATATTATTAAAAAAATGTTCGGCAATTGACAAAATAATTAAAAATCAATACAAAAAGTCAAGGGGAAATTTTTTTTTTAAAAAAAAAACTCAAGATTTGAATATTGTAATTAAATAAATCTTGAATTTTTAATCTTAATTTTTTTAATTTATTTTTAATATGAACTATTTATCTATTTTTATTAAGTAAAATTATCGAAAAAATATATATATTTAAATCATTAAACTCAATTAGGTGTACTTAAAATGTCTAAAATATCTAAATTTATTGAATTTGATGACTAAAATGTATTTTTTTTGACAATTTAATTTAACAAAAATAAACATATAATTTAAATAAAAAATTATAATTTCAATTAATAAAATTAAAATTTTATTTTAGGGAGACTTATTTATAAGTCATTTTTCAGACACTTATGGTAAGGTAAGTCCTGTGTAATTTCTTATAGAGTCTTAAGTCCTATTTAGATAGGAATGTATTCTACAAGATTCTACATAAATGTAACGTGACGTGACACTTGCATAAACGTAACGTGATGTGACACTTGCATAAACGTAACGTAATGTGACACCTACATAAACGTAATGTAACGTGTCACGTTATGTTTCGCAAACTTAATGAGTTTTTATTTTTTAAAATTGAATGTGAAAATGTTGCTGGTTTATGTTTATGTCACGTTACGTTTCATATAGGAAATTGAATGTTGTCATAGATTATAAATGTCACATTACGTTTATGTAGGTGTCATGTTACGTTATGTTTATGTAAATATGATTTATGGTAACATTCAATTTTCTATATGGTGTCACGTTACGTTTATGCAGGTGTCACGCTACGTTACATTTATGTAGATATGATCTATGGTAGTTGCATGTTACCATAGTAGGTGTCACGTTACGTTACGTTTATATAGATATGATCTATGGTAACATTTAATTTCCTATATATAATTTTACTATTATTTATTATATTAACAACTAATATTGAAGGTAAATGTGTTAACAAACTTCTCACAAAATTTATGAGAACATAATTTTTTTAGTAAGACCATATGTAGCATAAGTCTCCCTAATAAGACTTATAAATAATTTTTTCCTTATTTTATTATAAGCCTCTAAAACTTGAAATTTTTTTCCTATAATTTTTCCAAAAGTCAATTAAGGGGTTGTTTGAATGTCCTAAATAAGTGTACTTTTTATCTTTTTATAAAAAAAAATGTGCAGAAAAATAAAGAGCGACAATGCTACGTAGCTTAAATTTTGTGGCTTAAAAGTGGCTCAAATGGTCAAAACGACGTCGTTTTGAATACAGAACAACATAAAAATGACTAAAATGACATCGTTTTGGCTATTTAAATCACTTTTGAATCACAAAATTTGAGTTACGAGACATTTTTCAATAAAGAGACAGTATGATAGAAAAAAAAAGATAAAAAGATGAAAGCTGCAAAACATGACTAGCAACAAAACATGACTAATAAAAAAAGTTTAACGAAATCGTAACGGCGAAAGGTTCCCTTGACCAGTTAGAAAGCTGCATTCGCCGGAACCAGATCTCTCGCTCTCTCGACATATACATATATATCTTTACGTATAATAGACCTCTAAAACCCTAGAACATTCCTATTCGGTTCCAAAACCAAACCCTAGAACTCCAATTCAATCGCGCAAATCCCTAATTTGCATTGTCAAATTGTGCCGTAATTTCACTCTCTGGAGAGGAATTTTTGAAACCTAGGTTTTTAAGCAGAGGATGTTGATGGTTGAGAGTGACAATGGAGGCAAGTAAAGTGGTGAATAATGCTGTGCAAAATGGCAGCTCGAGCGACGGACTGCCTCCTAACCCGCTTACGGGATCGCCGTCTAAGAAATCCCTGGTCCGTCACCCATCTCTGGTGAGTCTCCATTATCAGTTTCCTCCAAAGGCTGTCTTGTTGCTTTATGCTTGTTTCTGATGAATGGGTTCTTTTTTAATGGCTGCAATTAATATTACTTGTAGCGATTTTTAGTCTATTTATTGTTAAATTACTGTTTTGGGTGGCATCATTTTAGTTTTCCTTGTTTATTAGTACGGTGGGATTAAAAGTGCTTGTTTGGGAAGTTGTCTATTATTTGACTTTTTAATCATTTTAGCCGGACTAGAATAGTTGTGTTTGCCAGGTTAGTTGGTTTTTTTAGTTGATTTGATAATTGTGAGAGAAAAAAATAAAATGAGTATGAGTTAGATGTGATATTTTGTTTTATTGATTATTTTAGTCTATTTTGTCTCTTAGTAAAATAGCCCAATCCTCTTCCCAAACAAGGCTAGATTGTTTTTGTTTGTTTGTGTACTAGTATGGTAGTATTTGGGGTGTTTGTTTATTTTAATTTGGTTATATACTTGACTATTTAGTACAGTTTCTTCTTATAACTTGTTAGGTTTATTACGTAGAAATAGCTTAAATAAGTTGAAAGAAACTAATTATTTGGAAGTTGGAAAAAATGTGCTTTTAGTTTTTGCTTTATGGTTATGAGTTTTTAGTTTCTAATATTTTCACCAAACAGGCCATTAGTTGATTGAGATTAAGTGGTTGTTTGGGGTGATCTATATAAGTACACTTTTTGACTTTTTAACAAAAAAAGTAGAGAAAAAAAAGATGTATGTTTAGGAAAACTTTTTGACTTTTTATGAAAAAATGTGTAATAAAATATTGTAGCAAATATCAAAATTACCAGATTGTCCTTCTTGACACAGTCAACAATATTGAGCTGACTTTCCATGCATTTCAATTTATTTATTTTTTTTGTGGAAATTTGTGACTTACATTGTGTCCTGTTTTCTTTTTTTATGGGAATTTTTGGCTGCACTGTTTTTTTTTTTTTTTTGACCCGACAAATTTCCTGCCAAAATAAGGTGAATAGTATGATTTTTTTTACTTTTTTAGTGACTTTTTAGCTTTTGTAAGTGATCCCAAACCAGCCCTAAATATATGAAATTACGTGTAAGTCTTCTTATTATGTAGAAGGCAACTTTTTGTTTTTGTATACTAAGGGACAAAACAGTCATTTCATCTTCAATCCCATGAGATTGGATTTGAATACTGCCTCCCTCGGGATTGCTAGTCTTCTCGAGGGTATTCCTAATCCTATGGGACTGGCCATTTCTCCAAACAAACCATGTTTCTTGTGGCGCCCACGGGAGGAAAACAAATAGGGTCTTGAGTCTTTATTTTCTTATAATTTTCTAGAGGGTTTTAATTAATTCTTCTAGCCGTTCTTGTATATTTACTATATTTTTGTTGTTACTAGCCCTTTTTATTCCGTGTGTTCATAAGCTTTGTTATTTTTAGATGGTTGAAGGGCTAAGAGTACTTGCCTATAGTATCTGCTTGGTCCTTTCGGTTAAGGGTGAATGTGATCCTTTCAAGTGTCATGCAGTATGTTTACAAATTGTTGTTGTTATTTTCATAATATGATATGTTTCACGATGGTCAAACAACCTGCTTCATGTGACCCAATATTATTTAACCTCCAGTTATTAACAGTTAATGACTGATTCAAATCCTAAAATTACCAGAATTATTCTTAAAAGAAGAGATTTCTCTCAAATGGATTTTGTATTAATTATCAACTAAAGAGCCCTAGGGCTTACAACCTTGTTTATAATAATAGAAATCTTAACAATCCTATGAATACTAAAATGGAAAATAAAATAATTCTTTCTAGAACAATCCTAGTTGTTGTCAGACAATAAAATAAACAAAATAGAAAATCTAAATAAATAGGAAAGTAAGGATTCTGGGCAATAAATCAAAGCATGACTAATCAAATTCTAATTCCACAATAAAAACAAAATATAATAAAGTATATAATTATTAAAATTCTATCTGCATCAATAAGCTGCTTTGATCAGTGCAAGTTTCGTTTATATCTTCTTCTGCTAATCTTTGCTCCATCTAGTAGAGCCCCATCGGCGAACTTCATTGTGTTTCATATCTATACTTGCACATACATTGGAATCAATGTCGATCTTGAGGAAGTAGATTACTAAAACAATAAATTAAACTCAATAAATCATATAAAACCCTAGAGCAAGAGTGAGAAATGGGGAAATGGAGGAAGGAGGAGAGAGAGAGAGAGGGGGGGGGGGACAAAGAGAGGGAGCCTATTTGTATTGTGCCGATGGCGGCGGTGGTGGCGATGTGCGACATACAGTGAGCAACGGTGGTGAGTGACTGCGGTGAGGTAAGGTGAGGTGACGTGACTTATTCTCTATCAGAGGGAGAGAGAGAGAGAGAGAGAGGGAGAGGAAGAGAAGAATGATCTCAAATCTAGACACCAATCTCAATTTTTTCCCATTGAAATTTTATAAACGATTTGGCGACTAAATTAGTTATTTTGTCGGAAAATGTTAATTTGTACTGACTAAATTATTTAGTAGCCAAAACCTTAACTAAAGGCGACTAAATATTTTTTTTAGTCGCCAAAAGAAATAATTTGGCGACTAATTTTTTGGTAGCCAAAGACTAACAGTAAATTTATGGCTATTATTTGGCGACTAAATATTTTTTAGTCGGCAAAAATTAATATACTATGACTAAAGAAAACTTTAGTAGCCTAAAAACTAGACTAATGCCCACTAATATATTTTTTTAGTCGCCTATTGTGACACATTTAGTGATTAATTTTTTTTTTAGTCGCCAATAGATAACATACCTCGTCTAAAAAAATTATAGTATCTTGTCCCATTATCTGGTGACACTGATATCTCCACTCTCTTCCTTATTTGACTTAAAATGGTGCTTCAATCCTTTATTGCCTACATAATTTCCTCGCACATACCCACTCTAGCCCACCATTGTCTTCGGCATTGCACCCACTTCACTGGATATTGCTACAAAATTCTCTAAATTGATGAGGGACAACACACTTTCAGAAATCTCTCAATATAGCTTAATCTCTTTTCAAACCCTATATCGTTGAAACAAGATCCATGTTTATTACCTCTCATTCTCTCTTCAATTTGTTTGTGATCCTAGTATAAGATCCGCATTGCTAGAACCTCCTCCTTACTCTTTTCTGCCATTGCCCCTTTTATGGACTACCCCTCTAAAATAGGACCACAACCCTCTCCCTTTCATGATATTTTCCTTCCCTCTTCGTTTCTTTCTCATCTCAAAAACCACCACCTTTGACTCCTTACCCCTCCATACTTGGCCCCCCACACCCTCATCCGACCATTGACCATATTGGTAAGCCCACGAACTTCAATGAATCATGCCTTTGACAATCTTTGCATCTTGAAATCTGTTAGACCAAAAGCTTATATACAACTCTTTACCGCTCCAAAGACTATGAAATCCAAAAGCTAATTTATGACTCTTTGCATCTTGGATTGTTTGTTGGGCACTAATTTCTAGGTGAACCATTTTTTGGATGATATTTTTAGAAGGTTAAAGCAGTTAACGTGGAGTGATAGGAATAATAGGCTTTATATTATTTCTTTTCCATGAAGTAAAACTTGTATTCTTATACATCAATGACATGTGATGTTAATTGTTGATAATTTTTATTTGTTTCATGTGATACCAGTGTTTAGGTGCTTGACATTCATTTTTATATGCCAAAAATTGTAATAAAACAAATTGTGTTTTTTTTTTCTTGTCTTTAGTGGTCATGTAGATTAAGGTTTTGACTGGAGTTTTTACAGGTGAAGACAAAGATGTCAAGTATTTCTGTTGAACCAAGATTGAGTGTAGAAGGTCATGAGACCAAGTTCATTCCTATTCTTCGCTCTGGAGCGTGGGCAGACATTGGCTCTCGCTCGAGGATGGAGGATGTATATGTTTGTGTGGACAATTTTATGCATGATTATGGGGTCAATAATTTCAATGAAGAGCCCAATGCCTTCTATGGAGTATTTTTCTTCTCTTGCACTACTTGTGGCTCTACATGTTTTATATGTCTAGAGAGTGGCACTACTGCTGTTATAATTATCAAGATCATTGTTTTAGTGCATGTGATGTAAACACCATTTATGATTCTTGTAGAGGGTGTGTGGATGACCATTGTTTTTTCTTGGTTTTTGTCAATTGTTAAACAATGTATTTTTTTTTTAATAAAAAAAATTGTTTTCCTTTTCCATTGTCTCTTAATGTTCTTTAATTAAACATAAATAGTATGGCTATAATTTTTTATTAGGTTGGTTATGATAGTAAGTTACTGAGAAATTTTGTATAAGCTTTTAGTTTAATAAATAAATAAATAAATAAATAAAATTACATGCTTATATAAAATGTACAGATTTGTAGGTTTGGTAAGGCTATAGTGTTTATTGTTGAGGCTAATATAGGACAATGACTTGTTGAGGGTTGAAAAGATCAAAACCATACACTACTGATAGCATATATAAAAGTGAGAGAATAAGTTAAATTCAAGGACTTTATGTGCAAAACAATTTTGGGAAATATGACCATGGGAATGCAGGAGAATGATTATTTTTGCTAGGGTGTTATAGTGCAAGGGTAAGGCATTATAAGAGAACACTTGAAGATGTTGACTACTGTTCTTAGTGGAACCCTGGAATAAACATATTACGTAACGTTCTTAGTATAATCCTTTCATAGGCGTAGGCTTGCTATTGCCCTGTGAATTTTATTGCACGTTTTGGAGCTTGTGCATGTAGACAATTTTAATAAGGGCATTTCTAAAGAACATGATATTCACCCATCCACCCTTATGGATCATGTTTGGTTCATGGAATGGGCATGTATTCTAGAAATTTCATAGCTATTTCATTATGTTAAGGCTTTGAATAGCTGAAAGTTATTGCAACTTCCCTTGATTGCCACTTGACTTAAATTAGTCTCTGATATTTTGTCACATAACCTTGCTTGGCCTTTGGAATTATTTAGGCCTCTTGCAATAGAGGAGTTTTGGAGTAGTCTAGACCTGTTCCGCATCAGACTAGGAACTTTGAAGATTGCTATTCACTAAGGCCAACTAAGAGCTCTTTACTTCTACTCTGATCTGATAGCAGCTTGTTCTACCAACTACTTCCTTCAGCTGGATTTTGTGAGACCTCAGACTATCTCAAAACCTAACTTTGAGAAGAACTCCAGCAAATTCAACATCTAGTTAGCTTACAATGATTACAACGAACCGAATTTGAATTTTTTATTTGGTAATTTGCTAGTTGTCCACATGTAAGAACAACCGTCAGATGATGCTTTTTTTGATCAGCAATCTTCAGATGATGCTTTGGATCCTTACTGACACCAATCCTGACAATTAGTGGTCCGTCCACCACCGAGATTCTGGTCCTCCTTATTGCAAGGATCAAAGTTTTATTTCAGCTTGTTTTGGCAAGCCTGGAAATGGAAACATTTCGGAAATGTTATGGTAATACTCTGAAAGAGAAAAAGAATTTGAAATAACATGAAATGTTCAGAAACACAAACTAAAACCTATCTAAATGTGTAAAATGCCTAATGGTTTAAATATATTCAAATTTATAAAAGGCCTTGGATAGTAAAGGGAGCAAATCAAAATTGAAGGGAGGTGAAGGGTTCAAGGGAAAGAATAAATGGTGTGTTTTAGCTGTTACTCTAGGCAGCGAGGAGAGTGAAGGTGGATGAGTGTGGCGATGCTGGGTAGATCTGGGCTAATGGTGATGTAGGGGATGGAAATGTTGTCTTTGAAGCCATGCCCCCCATTGGTAATGATGAACTCCAGAAGGTGGGTTTGATTTGTCTTGTGCTCCTCAGTAGGAGGAGGGGGGGGAGTATGAAGCATGCAAATTCAATGTTTTGGGAAATTTGGTAGATGGGAAGGTGGAGAAGTTAGACATGCAAGGTGGCTGGAGGAGGGTTTTAGAGTGGTAATGTCTTCTGATTGGCACGAGCATCTCCAATCTGGGTTAGAGGATAAGACCTAAGAGGCATGTCAGTGCCTTCTTTGTGCTCATGGAGGAGTTTCAAAAGTAGTACAAAGAGGAGTATCCGAATAACAAATTTGCAGTTGTGGTTGATAAGGCCATTGGAAACAAATGGAGACCGATGATGGAAGCTGAGAAACCTTCTTACATGACAATGTCTGAGGAAAGGAAGACCGAATACAACGTATATCCAAATATAACGTATATCCAAATAGTAGCCGCAGCAGAGATTAGAGTGGAGGGAGCTAGAGAGGGGGCCTGCCTGACTCTGATTTGGTTAGAGTTTTGGATAGGCCTCCCCTTTGATTGAAGTTTCTCTCTCTCTCTCTCTCTCTCTCTCTATTTTATTTTATTTTTATTTTGTTTTGTTTTGTTGTAGTTGGTTGGTCCCCCCTTGGCATAGTTTGATTATATAAAAAAGAATTGAATATGAGAGCAGTAGTTTGACATACCTTGCTTCTGCATCTGTGTTCTAATAATGTGCCATACAATATTAAAATGTCATTGGTTACCTCAGGTTTTTGATGGGCATGGAGGAAAGCATGCAGCTGACTTCGCATGCAACCATTTGCCAAGATTCATAGTTAAGGATGAAGACTTCCCAAGGGAAATTGAGAGGGCTGTTGCATCAGCGTTTCTACAAACAGACACTGCTTTTGCAGAAGCTTGCTCATTGAATGCTGCCCTTGCTTCTGGTACCACCGTTTTGGCAGCTCTTGTTGTCGGGAGGTCAGGATTTTTCCATCCACATCTATCAAATATTCATTAGAGCTCTTTATTGCTGTCAATCATATAAAATCGTAATGCATACTTCTAAGAAATATAAAATAACATCTTTTAGCCTGTTTGGTAGGATTACGTGTTTTAGAAAACCTCATGAGCCAAAGGTCTTTGTGCATATTTGTTTGATTTCTTGATTTTTGGGTTTCATTCAGCCAATGTTTCGGGAACATTATGTGTCTCCAAATGAACGTGTTTTTTTTATTTGATGTCTCCTTTACTCATTTGCACACCCTAATGCATGCATATACATAGACAAGGATACAACGGGAGCATGCAGACAAACATAATGTGTTCATTTAAAAAATCAAAGCTCTGATTATGATGGGATTAAAGCCAATTTACGAAGAGCATGCTCAAAAGGACTTGTGCTGCTGCCATGACGAAGAAATGATACAGTAACTGCTGATTAACTGCTCATTTCTATGAGAGATAGAGGTGCCTCCTAATGGGTTCAGGTATGGATACGGGTACGGGTATGACGATGCGGAAAATTCTTAAAAAATTAGGGTAGGGCTACGACTACTGCTGGGATACGTCAATTTTTTTTTTTTTTTTTTTTTTTTTTTTTTTTTATAAATTTATAACTAAACATCCAACATATAAATCAAAGCTTCAATATCAAAATTAAAAAGAGAATAGTTTGTCTAAAAAGTTATATAATTCTTTCTTTTTCTTTTTTGATTATCTAAAATAGGATGCAAAAGAGAGCAAAGTCATGACTCATAGCTAAAGAGTGTTAGAAATAAATTAGTTGATGATTTTTGAAGCTGAAAGAAGAATAATGAAGGCTTCACAAATACTAGCAGCTGCAATAAAAAATAAAAAAACCTCATCATACCTATGCTGTACACCAAACGTATTTGCCATACCCGGCTTGTATTCGACGTATCTGGTATGCTTACTGTCATACTAGCACGCGTACCCTCACTCGATAAGTATCCGGTACTCGTATAGCACTATTTTTGGAGTACTCATACTTCGTAGGTTACCAGGAATGCAGAAAATTTAGTATGTGGAATTGGATCAATAATGTATTTGTGCGAAATAGCCTAGAACATGGTATCATAGTGTAGGACGTAGTCAGCACCTAACATAATACACTTAATGGCAAAACTTTTAAAGTAGGTTGAAACTTAAATCTAACAATGCTCTATCATACAACTTAAAACATTTTCGTTCTCCTAACTTTGTTAAAATCTAGGAACTTCACCATGAGAAAAAGATGCTCGGCACTTGCAGCTACGCTGTCTAGTAGTTTGGAGTAATATTAGACCTAAGAGTCATTGGAATGGGCAACAATTATTTCTTTAGCAATGATGTTGTAAGTAATTCTAAATGTTCTGTAGACTAGTTTATATAACCCTAACAACGAGAACCAAAAAGGACATACAAGAATCCTAACGCCTAAACCAAAAAGGAAAATACAAGATTGATATCACAACCTTGCCTAATATAAACACAATCATGCCTAATATATACGATTATATTCTCACACCCCCACTCAAACTTAAGGTGTTTTAGCCGAAAACACGGAGAGTTTGTCAAGAAGAAACCGAAAATGAGCAATGCTGTGAGTTTTGGTGAAGAAGTCAGCAAGCTGTAGAGCCAAAGGGATAAAAGGAAGCGAGATAGAGCCATACTGTAGGTGCTGACGGAGGAAGTGACAATCAATCTCATTGTGCTTCGTTTGTTCATGGAAAATAGTGTTATGGGCAATCTGAATAGCATTTTGGTTGTCACAGTAGAGAGAGGTCGGAGAGGACTGAAGAATGCCCAAGTCAGAGAGGAGACAACGAAGCCAGACAACCTCAGCAGTAGCATGAGCCATAGCACGGTACTCAGCTTCGGTAGTAGAACGGGCAACAACGGTCTGTTTCTTGCTTTTCTAAGAAATCAAAGAATCACTAAGAAACAGACAGAAACCAAAAAGCGGACTTACGATCAGTCACATCACTAGCCCAATCAGCAATAGCATAACCACCAAATCCAAGGAAGAAGTAGAAGACAACAACAAGCCTTGGAAGATAGTACCGCGAAGATAGCGAAGAATCCGAACCAAAGCAGCCCAATACGAAAAGCGAGGAGCAAAAACGAACTGGCTAACTACATGAACAACATAGGCAAGATCAGGGTGAGTAACTGTCAGATAGACTAAGCAGTCTACAAGCTCATGATACAAAGTAGGATCATCCAGTGGGACACCATAAGTAGTGCTAAGCTTCATATTAAGCTCTATGGGGTTATCAGAAATTTTAGTGTCAGTAAGACTGGCACGGTGAATAACCTCATTGGTGTATTTGGCCTGAGACAACCCTTGGGAGAAGAAGCTACTTCAATACCAAAAAAATATTGCAATGGTCCTAGATCCTTCATTTTAGAAGTGCGGAAGAGTTGCTGCTTGACCTCAGAGAGCAGAGGGGTTAGAGCCAGTAATGATCATATTATCTACATACAGTAATAAGGCAACAAATCCAGCAGAGTTGTGGAGAAGAAATTTAGTCGAGTCTTGAGCACAAGGATAAAACCCAAGTGCAGTAACAGCAGTCTGAAAGCGATCATACCAAGCACGAAGAGACTGCTTTAGACCATAAAGAGCAGGCCGAAGGCGACAAACCTGTCCAGAGGAAGAGGGAAGGCCAGGGGGAGGACACATGTAAACCTCCTCAGTGAGATGGCCATTAAGAAATGTATTCTTAACATCCATCTGATAAAAAGGCCAAGAACGAACAACAGCGACAAAGATCAAAGTACGGACAGTAGTCATCTTGGCAACAGGAGCAAAGGTCTTCTCATAATCAATACTATACTCCTGTGAGAAATTTTTGGCAACCAGACGAGCTTTGTAGCGCTCAAGAGAGCCATTAGAATGAGTCTTGACTTTGTAGACCCATTTACAACCAACCAGATTCCTACCATCAAACAAAGTAATCAACTCCCAAGTACTAGTTTTCTATAAAGCAGACAACTCATCCTCCATACTTGAATCCAATGGGGATCCTGATAGGCTTTCTTGTAAGACTGAGGTTTTGAAAAAGAATGAATAGCAGACAAAAAAGTATGATAGGAAGCAGAAAAACATATATTAGACCAATCCGACCTGTTTGGAGGATGACGAGCTCGAGTAGGATAGCGGTATGCAGGAGGATCAGAAGCAGGAGGATCAGCAGTAGGAGTAGAGACAACTGATAGAAGGAGAGCTTGGCGACGCGAATAAGCTAACAACGGAGGAGGAGAAGGAAAAGAAGGAGCAGGCTGGGGAGACGGAGGAGAAAAGGGAGTAAGGTCATGGGGAATAGTAGAGATGTACTCATCAGGAGGGACCTCAGAAGGAAATGAATCAATGTGAACCAAATTCTCTTTGAAAACTGGAGTAGTAGTAGGAGGAAGCGGAAAGTAAGGCAGATGTTCGAGAAAAGAAACATGACGGGAGATGTAAAGATGATAGAAAATAGGGTCGTAACACAGATAGCCTTTTTGAGTTAGACCATAACCCAAAAAGACACATAGGACAAATCGGGTCCTAAGTTTGGTTTGATCTTTACGGGGAAGAAGGACAAAACAAGCAAACTCAAGCACACGAAGGAGGGAGTAATTGGGAAGTTGAGAGAACAGAGCCTCATAAGGAAACCGACCAGAAAGAAGGGGAGTAGGTATGCGGTTAAGAAGAAAAGCAACAGTAAGAATTGTCTCGCCCCAAAACGAAGCTGGAACTGAGGTAAAGAGAAGAAGAGACCTAGCTGTCTCAAGAAGATGGCGGTGTTTACGCTCGGCTCGACCATTTTGGGCAGGTGTATCAGTATAAGAAGTTCGGTGAATGGTACCCAATTTGGCCAAATACTCACAGAACTCAGTTTGAAAATATTCCTTACCCAAGTCAGATCGTAACAATTTAATGGTAGTCCCAAACTGTGTAGTGATCATAGACTGAAATGTACGATATATTTGTTCGAAGTCAGATTTATGAGTCATAAGATAAACCCAAGTATAACAGGTGCAATCATCAACAAAAGACACATAGTATGTAGAACCTTCTTTAGTGAGAACAGGAGAGGGTTCCCAGACATCAGTATGCACAAGAGAAAATGAAGAAACAGAAACTGAAGTACTTTTATTAAAAGGTAAAGCTGACATTTTGGCAAGTTTACACCCCTGACATTCATCAATTTGACTAGAAGAAACTTTACCCAATAATCCTGATTGAGCTAAAGACTGTAAGCGGTCAACAAACAAATGACCTAGGCGAGAATGCCATAAGTAAAACTGACTCGACTGAGAATCTACTGAAATGAGGAAAAAGCAACTGGAGAGGTGGATAGGGGGAGATGCAAGCTCTCTACCACATTGAGATCTCTAACTCTACAGCCGGTCCTAATCTGCTTCTTGGACACCCGATCTTGCACACAATAGACAGAAGAGAAAAAGATAACATCAAAACTAGAAATGTCAAGTTGACTGATATATAATAAACTGACAAATAGCTAAGGAACATAAAGAACAGAGGGAATAGTAACAATAGACATGGTAGAGGGTAAGACAGACCCAACAGTTAGAACAGGCATACCAGACCCATCAATAGTATTAACAGTAATAGGTGAGGGAGGAGGGATACAATTTTGAAGTAAGGAAAGGTGATGAGTCATATGATGAGAGGCACTAGAGTCGAAAAGCCAGACAAAAGAGGAGATACCTGAAGATGACCCAAACAAACCTGAATGAAGAGAGGTGAGAGTAGAGACAGATGAGGATGGCTGAGAGGTAGATAGGAGATGCTGAAGCTGAGCCATCTGGGAACGCAAGGAAGCCAAGTCAGGATTAGAAGCTGGAGCAGATGCAGTATAAGCAGCAGGAGGTCGAAGCTGTGTCTGAGGCGGCTGAGAAGACTGAGCAAACTGACGTCCCTTCTTGGGACAGTTGTACTTCCAATGGCCTTTCTAATGACAAAAAGC